TAGCTCATCTTTTATGCAAATCCACAAAAAGAAAAAATCTCTCTGCACCTCGACCTCCCAACGTTTATATGATGATTATGGTGGAAATTCAAAGATGAGGGGGAAATTTGAGAAGTCCTGACGTTCATTCTAACCGCTGCTAAAAGACGATGCAGAGTGTAAAAAGGGAGCCACTGGCATTACTGGGTATAGTTATTAAGTGGAAAAAGTGAAAACTGCTTCGCGGGTGTAACAGAGACATTAGAGAGAGATGGAGAAAAACATTTTACTAACTACTTTACACCCCTGACATTGAAACTTTTTTATACTTAATTTGACATTTTAGCTTAATTACTTAAGACCTTAGAAAGGGTCTCTGTCACCACGGTTGCACGGGTGCTTTTAGCTGCTTTCAGCTGCTCCCTTATTTCCCAAGGGATCAACACAGCTGGGTTTAGGTCTCCTCCTGGCCTCCAGCTGGGGATGTTTCATGCATTAAAACAACTGTGTTAACCACTACACCTCAGAGCCACTGTCAACTAGGGGGCCAAGTCCTGTTGATTTTCTCTCGCTCCTTTTATAACTGACATAATTTACTTTTCCCAAATCTTGTCCTTTTCCCCCCCTACCTCTTAAAACAGCTTTGATAAGTTCGACTCTTAAGAAGACCCTTTCAACCAAAATAATTACCATACATTACTCTTCTTTCAAAAACAAACAAACAAAAAAGAATGCTGCTTTGCATAGTTATTCATACCCTACTAACAATCATCTCAACAATTTCAGTCTGGTTTTCGGCCAGTTCACAGTACAGAGGCACCCCTGGTCAAGATCACAAATGATCTTCTGATGGCAGCCGACTCTGGGTTGCTTCTTGATCTGAGTTCTGCCTTTTGATACAATCTCTCATGATATTCTTTTAAAGAGATTAAAGTCTGGTCAAGTCTGTAAGTCTGTAAAGCATGTATAGTGCAAACATTTCAATTCACAACCTTGCCCAGTTGTTAGTGGTGTAACAACTGGGCAACTAAAACTTTTTTTGAACAAATGTGCTAAGCTCGCTCTGTGCGTTGCCACTTCTCAAATCGTTCCTCCTTCCCAGATCAAGAGCTTAGTTGCTGTTTTCCATAATGCCTTAAATTTTGAAACGCACATCAATAATATCACTCAGCCTGCATATTTCTACCAATGTGATATTGGTCGGCTTCATACATCCTGTACATCAGTACTGGTTTTCTTGGACGTGCTCTGGTTATATATCATATTTATTAAAGTAAAAATCTTAAACTTCTCTATAGGGTTCAGCTGTTCATAGCCAGAACTCCTTCCATAGAACGTATTACTCATTTCCTTCAGCAGCTGCATTAATTTTAAGATTTTTGCTTCTTACTTTCAACTCTCTCCACAATCTCGCACCTTCATTTTTCTCTCACTTTCTGCACATTGCCATTCCTTCCTGTACTCTCCTCTGTTACTCTTATTATACCAGCTGCCTGGCTGTCCACCTTGGGCTTTTGAGCTTTCTACCAAAAAACTTTCCGCCTTCTTTGGAGCTCTCTCCTGCACCACATTTGCAACATTGATCCTGTCCCTGTCTTTAAAGCCAGCCTGAAAACATCTCTGAAAACATGTCTATGCTGTTTGATTTTGGTGTGTTGTGAATTTTAATTCTATGCTGTCTTGCAGCTGTTATTTTATCCATACTGTGGTTTTGTACATTGCTCGTAAGTTGTCCTCGACCATCTTGAAAGGTACCAAATGTAATATTAGAGGTGAAAATTTAACAGAATATTTCAATAAAATTTGCAGCATTTCTGACAGTTCAGGAAAAAAAAAATACTGAACATCAGTGACTGCAGCTTGCAGACAGCAGCATTTATTAGTGCAAACAAAATGAATGCATTTTCCATCCTTCTGTTCTCCAGTGAGCTCATGGATCATAGACGCCCTGATTCAAAATTGGAATCTGTTGCCACAAAGTGCCAGCAGCAGTAATATAGTGCAATATTAGAGATACAGGTATACATGCAAAGCATAAGCACAAAAGTATCCCAGGTAGTCTTTTCCACTGAAATGCTCAACATTTCAACAGTAACAATAACTCAAGTAATTTAACCTTGTAACTCTTCAGGACCCTGCACTATGCTTGCACATAATAAAATTGAAATGGAAAATCCCTAACCTTTAACCTCTAACCCTAACCCATCAAACATTTGCTCTTTTGTTGGAGGTTGTTAAAGTTCACTATTTACTAAATCATCATTGGAGGCTGACACACTGCTCTCGTTGTTGGGCATGCCTGGGCTTTAAACATTGTTCTGCACTGTGCCATTGATATTATGATATGACAGTTGTATGTCACAGAAAAATTTACTCTGATATTATTCCTACCATCACTGTTGTTATACTACGCCATTATGCTTGTGATTAAACCATAGACGGCAGATTTAAGTTGTTAGTTAATGAGTGAGTGGTTTCATAGTGACATTTGACCCTCGTAGTCACATCTAGTTCTTTAAAACCAAGATGGCGAAAGTATAATTGCTTCACAACAAGCCTCCAGAAACCCATGGATGATGTTACAGTACAGGGTGGGCCATTTATATGGATACACCGTAATAACATAGGAATGGTTGGTGATATTAAAGTCCTGTTTAAACATTGTGAGTTGTAAATCCATCTTGAGGAGTTTGTCCCCTCACATATACTAATGTGCCACAAACAGGACTTTAATATCACCAACCATTCCTATGTTATTACGGTGTATCCATATAAATGGCCCACCCTGTACTTAGCTTCTATATTGTCTGCGGATTAAACATCAAATCCACCTTAAATGCCATATTAAGCAGGTAATGAGTAAATTATTACCAACAGTCCATTCTCTTATTCCAGATTGAATAATTACCTGTACAGACAGATGCCAGAAACTATCATTTCTTATTAAGAATGAGAAATTATTGTTGTTGTCTCATGCTTTCTTGCTTTGTGGTAGATCTTTGTTCTGTCTTCACTGAGATATTTGAATGCTAATCAATCAAATCACATCAAGAAATTATGTTGTTTTTTTTGTTTTTGTTTTTGTTTTTTGTTTGTTTCAGAACCTTCACAGTGGCATGTGGAGTGGATGGTGTTCAAAAGTCATGAGTTCTGTTTAGAAGCCAGGGGACTGGAAGCCAATATGAAGAAAAATGGCTTAAAGGGATGTTGGCCTTTAAGGAAAGGGAGCTTTGTATGAGAGAGTGAGGCTGACAGGCTGCACTAAGGAAAAGTAATATGGAGCACAGCAGGTTCACCTAATTAAACTGCTTATATACAAGTAAAACGACCTATAGCCGCTTAAAAATAAGCATACAGTTGGTTTAACAGAAAATGTCTATTTTTTTTTCTGCTCAGAAGTGATTAGCATCGTATAACTTGCGCATAGGTTTAACCTGTGCATGCAACAAAATGTTTCCTTGTAGATTATATTCTCAAGTAAACAATTCGCAATCAGATGAAATAAAGAAAACCCTCACATTTGAGAAGACGGTGCAAAAAAATGTCACTTTAGAAAGTGTTAAACTGCAGAAAAGTGGAGTCTATCAATAATCTGAAGACATGGGATGGTGAGCTAACAGAAAATTGTAGTTCACAAACTTTGACTAATTTTTACCCAAATTGCAGAATTGAAGTCAGAATATAATCACATAGGAGTTGAACAGAGGAGCTTGTGATTTGATGGATTGCAATCGGGGATTTAGAAAGTGGAAACAATTTGAGACTTGTGTGTTAACATCGTGGTTTCCAATACATGCTGAGATGGCTGCTGCTCGCCAAAGCCTCACAGTATAAGCGGATTACTGAGTGGATGTATTTTGTTTTCTTTCTTTTGTTGCTTGTTATCTTTATTTTTTTGTATTTGCTGCCAGTCCTCTTTCTTTTATTTTCTATCCCCCCCTTTTTTTTCTTCATTGAAGCACTTTTGGGTTTTTTAGCAGGATTGTCAGCAAACAATTTGCTAAAGGTGATTTTGCATTTGTTTTTTTTTGTTTTTTTGTGTGACAGATGTCTCATTTCCTTTGATATAAAGGTGTCCAAGGGTTCTTTGGTATAAAATGAACAAACAAAACAAAGCAGAAAAATAAAAATTGGTTTGGAAGGTTTGATTAAAAATGTCATGGACCAGATTCACCACTGCAAACAATAACAGAGGCATTAGCTGACATGCCCTTTTCAGACTTTGGAAACAAACTGTTCTCCCTGAACGTCTTGATTTTCTGATAATATCTGACCCTCCCACTGTGACAAAGTAATTCCATCCTTTTCTTCAGCACTTTCCTGCCTCTTTCTCTCTTGTCTTTTGTTATCTGTGGCAGTAACTTGTTGTTACTGCCACACTCACTAATTAGCTCTGATGGAGCAAACTGCAGCTGCTGACAGCCGTCTGATTGGAGAATGGTTTTCATGGAAAATTCTCCTTCCTCTCCACCCTGTAATCACACCCAGTTTTACAAGCAAAATACTTTGTGACCCTCTGCCTTTGTCCAGGAAACAAACCCACACAATGGCTGAGAAGTCAGGATGAATGTGTATAAAGTTGCTTAGATTTGTACTCTAGGATAGCCTAACAAAATACTATATAGATTTCACAAATGGGTACTTACTTATTTATGGTTTTGTTGTCATTCTTGAATGATTAAGACGCTGAAATGTTATTTTACAAACCATCATTTTTTTTTGTATTTTCCTTACTACTTTCCCCCCCCCAAGGTTTTAGATCAGGCCTTTAAAGTCATATTTCAAAATTGGGGGTTAACTGTGGTGAGCTGCACATATTTTATTGTTCTGTTGTTGTGTCTTCCATCGGTCCATCCATTCATTCTCTTCCTCTATGTGCAGTACCCACAATCCCACACTGAAATTCAAATCCTGAAAATACTGTGCTATTGAATATTTCCTAAAACCTGAACCAAATCTAATCTTGTCCTCCTCCTCCTTTCCTTCCCTCCCTTTTCCTCTGTCTCTCTCTCTCCATACAGTGTTGCATAGACAACTATGAGGAGATGGTGAAGCTCTTGTTGGACCGAGGAGCCAGTGTTAACGCTCAGGACAACGAACTGTGGACGCCGCTGCATGCTGCTGCTACCTGTGGCCACGCAGGACTTGTTAAGATACTCATCGCACAGTAAGTCATAAAGATATGATACATCATGATTTCCTGCAGCACAGCCCTTATCTTGTCTGAGATAAAGACCAGCACCACGAAAGTCTAAATATGTTCTTATGAAATCTAATATTTAACTCATTATGCTTGCAAAGAAAGGTGGCTATATTGGTCGCTGATTTGTTTTTGTTTTGTTTTTGAATGTCAGAAATGTATATTTGTGAATGTGGAGATGTTATATTGGTTTCACTGGTAAAAATAAATAATTGAAATGGGTATATATTTGTTTTTTGTTAAGTTGCCTAATAATTATGCACAGTAATAGTCACCTGCACACACAGATATCCCCCTAAAATAGCTAAAACTAAAAACAAACTAAAAACTACTTCCAAAAACATTCAGCTTTGATATTAATGAGTTTTTTGGGTTCATTGAGAACATGGTTGTTGTTCAATAATAAAATTATTCCTCAAAAATACAACTTGCCTAATAATTCTGCACTCCCTGTAAGTAGACTCTGAAACCAATATGAACAGGTTTTTCTGAGATCAGCACAAGTCAGTTCTGGGTAAATATTGAGATCAGCATGTCACAGCATTAAAACAACAAAAATAAACAAACCGAACAGTTGCAGTTCGAGACTGAATGCACCAAAATGTAGTTAATTTGTTAACTATTAGTCATAAAGTTTAAAAGACATGCTTCATTTCTACTAAACTTCACTTGCATTATTGCAGCTCATGAGAAGAGGCTTACAGTTATGATATAGTGACAAGATATAAAGATTTCTGTGAACATCAGATGTATGAATAGCTCTACAGGCCACAGAGTAAACAATACAATTTGATTTTGGGGTGGGTCTGTTATGGTTTCCCATATTATTGTTCATTTTGTTGTGATAGTGGGCTCATACTAAGGGACAGATTTTCCCGAGGAGGCTTGAAACGCTGTTTCTAACTTTTTTTGGTGCTCCTGGATCTGTATGATGTTATAAAGAGAGGATTTTAATATGGAAGCCCCTCCCACCTGCTTTTCAGCTCTTCTGTTTGTAAAGGACAGCCAATCAGAAGACCTGGCTTAAAGACACAGGAGCTAAAAAGTTTGCTAAAGGGCCAGTATAAGATAAATCATGGTTATTTTAAACCGTAATGAATCCACTTTAGGTTGAAAGTTTAAATTGACCAGCAGTATAATGAATGGCTGTGATGGTTTCCCAGGCAAAAACATGTGCTTACATGATACTCTAAACTTAATAGCATGGCATATTGTTGCCATGCTGTCAAATATACAGATATAACTGCAGCTACTGTCCCCAATGAGCCACAGACGCAGTTTGAGGAACCTGATTTTTTCTTGTCCAGACAGATTAGGTTTTTCTGTTCCAAAATCAACAGAAGCAACAATTAATGCTAATGCACCTAACAGCTGTGACAAATTATACAAAAAAAAGAGTGAAAAACATCGTGGAAATGACACTATCCTCTACTAAAAATCAGTGTTATAATGATATTTGAAGATAAAGCAAACCCACTGAAGGTCAGTAAAGGATAATACTGAATTATTTCCAGCCGCAGGATGTGTAGTGGTTTAATAATGACAGAGATTGAATTATTATCCAACTTTGATATGCAGATGTTGTTAATAATTCAGTAACACTGACCCAAATTCCCATAGGCAAAAATGTCCTTGTTACTGTCTTTGACTGGATGCAAATACGTGTAAGAAGTATAGATGACTCATGAGTTCACACATTGTGGACATGTTTAATTAGGATTTAATTAGACTGAGTTTATTAGGCTTTAATTGCATCCTAATGAAGCAATAACAGCGACACATGTACACACAAAGAGACAAAACGGGCAAATTAACATACTGCACGTGTACACGTTGGTATTGTTTCTGCTTGTTAACATGACGGGTTGAACTGCAGCCTGTATGCAGAGACTTACACACACACAAACACACTGCTGCCATCTGTTGACGTGCAGGACTCGTCAAAGCGACCGTGCTGTGACATGGATGAAGTTTAAAAACTGCTGAATGAGGCAGTGTCATTTGTTCTGGGCTGAAAGACGTTAATTAGCTTCTTCAGTTAGTGCTGTGCAATGCACATTTGTTTTGTCATCCCTGTCCAAGACTTTGAGTTATAGATTGTTAGTTTTCAGCATCTTTGTGTGTTACAGTAGGTCGGGGACATGAAAACAGGGCGGCGTTACCCTGATGACTCAAGTTGTTTTGGTTATTTTTAAACTTTTGAGGATCACAGATGGTGCTATGAAATGTAATATATTGAACACTTTTTCTCATTGAGTCGTTAGCCCTGCATATTGTACATTCAGAGCATTTATTAACTCTGATTGGATTTGTTGAAATATTCATCCGCTCATTTCCCACAGTGGCGCAGATCTGCTGGCAGTCAACTCCGATGGGAACATGCCCTACGACCTGTGTGAAGATGATCCCACGCTGGACATCATTGAGACTGCCATGGCCAACAGAGGTAGAGAATAAATGCTTAAAGGGGAAGTTACTGACAGGAAGGTTAGACAGATGATAAAATCTTTTAGTAAGTTTAGAATCAGATTCAGTCTGTCTGCAGACTGTCAGACTGATAATTGAGAGAAGATTACATAGTTATGCGCAGGAGTAATGATGTTACACAAAGTACGTTTATGTTGGGATTATTCCAATTAAATGTAACTTTAACTTTACCAGCACATGTGAGTTTTTTTGTAAAACATTTCCTTTTTCTTTTTAGACTCCCAGTGAACAAGATATTTCCAGGAAAAACAACATTCACTTAGTTCAACCCGTTCATTTCCTTCCCTGCTTACATCTGTTCATTCCTAGTCGACAACTGTGTATTTTGCCAAAACACCAGGAGACTTGCCAGAAGAGGCTAGCTTGCTAACTCAGCCTCAGCTTCTTAGACTTATCGAAAACACAGCCTACCGCTACCTTACTTTAAAGCTTATGTTAGAAAAGTTAAAAGTTGTATCCAGTCTAAAAGTCATTGTCTGGACGGCAAAGTTCGTGTATTGCTGTATAGATCTGCTGTTTTAGTCTGAATAAAACTGTGACAGGTTATGTGTGGAGTTTAAAGCAGGCAGACACAGTTTAATCAGCTTCCTTGTACTTTAACACTTGGACTGTGTTGTTACTTTTTGTTACTTTTTTAAGTGTGACTGCTATAAAAAGCAGTCGTTTAAGAGCCCGGGTCTAGCAAAAATTAGAGATGAGAAGGAAGGAAGATGCAAATCTTATTTTAACCTTTGTGGCTTGCAGCTTTTGGCAGTCTTAACGGTCTACTTGTCATAAGAGCAGATTGCTGAAGAAGATGGCATCGGAGTTGTGACCTGATATCACACGTAGTGTCAGGCACAGTTTTATGATTGACACTGTGAGGAGCTGAAAGTATTCACAGTTCTCTCTCTCTGTGCCAGCGGGGTGCAGATTAGGATACTGTATATTCATGCTGTGTCACTGTAAACAGCTGCAGACGCCACAGTTTGTCTCTGCGACATGAGTGAAAGAGAGTTCAAGGAGATCAGCGCTGACATAACTGCACATCAGTGATGAAGGAGGGGGAAACTCGTGCTGTTTGCATTTTTGTCTGTTTGTGCGGTGTGAAGAAAGACGCGTACAAAAGCTGTCGAAGCAACAGGCAAATTTATTTACACTGGAGTAAAATCAAGCCTCTTAACACGAGCTGCTCTCAGTGTTTTGTTGTTGTTTTCTGGTAAATGGTTACATCCTCAAGCTGGCATGTGTTCTCACGGCTGGGAACAAAACAACAAAAACGAGCAGCAGGCGGTTTTCACTGTACTATTGTAGAACTGGCTGCTAAACTGTGGCTCATTTCAAATATCATTTTGCAAAATGCAATTAAAAAGATTGCAAAAAAATTTAATTAATTGCTTTCTGATTACAACATAGTTTAATGGTGTTGCCTTTGGGCCATAGACTAAAACAAAGACGTCACACAGACCTCCAGTTGTATTAGTAGTTATTAACCAGGAAACTGGGTACAGTTGGGTTTTTGGCTAACCCTAGTTATGGCTTTCTAGCTTGGTTAGTGTTACTAAGTCCTAACCACTTATGTCTGGTTAGCAAAGCTGGTGTGCCAGTATTATACACTTTCAAGGCCAGTCAGCATCCCCTGGCAACCCCTGGTTTGCTGGGAAAAATGTGGCAAGTGGTTGTGTCAGTTTGGTGGATACATGTTGTCATACCAAAAAGCTCCTGTTGCTTATTACAAGGTTTGCATAGAAGAGTTTCACTTGTCTGCAAACAAGTGTGATGCAAACCAAAACTGAGACTTTTTGCCTTCAAAGTAAAACTGGTGCTTTACCTTTGCATCCAAAACATATTTCAAAAAGTCCTACTTTTACTTTGAAGGTGAACAGTCCCCAGTTAGATTGCGTTGCGCTTTTCACAGTTTCACTGTCACTTGTCTTCCATGCAAACTCTGCTTCTGCATTGATTTTGTTTTTATGGAAAATGCTGTTTGCTTTGGACAGAACAAACTTTCTGTTTTTCCTGTACAGAAGCAGTCTAACAGGCTGTAGCTTCATACTTACTTTATTAAAATGAGTGAGTGTGCAGCACAGTTTCCTTCTAAGTTTTAAAGTGTATTCTTTGCCTCCTGGATCGTACACACATATTAATCTTTCTAACATCTTGTTAACACTGTTAACGTCACCTCCACTTTAGCGATTCAACAAACATCTTTAAAAAAGACAAAAAACTCAGTAGTACATGAATCATATCTAATCCTTCTCTTCGAGTCTCATACAGACACATTCGACGTGTTTCAGGGCAGCGTGCTGCCTCACAAAAGTCATTGCTTATTCATATGCTCACACCTCTTTGTTTACCAGTACGAGGCTGTTGGTTGGTGTGCTTCACAAGTGGTATCAAAAACAAAAAAGTAAAGAAAAGGTGAAACTTTCCTAAGTTGGTTAAGGTGCCCTTCAGCACACTGCTAAATGCCAAATGCATGTGTGGAGCTGTGTATGAGTAAGCAGCAGACTGTAGATGCAGGGTACTGAAGGCGAGCATCAGGGGTGCTCAGTCATATTTCCCTGGTTAACGAAAGCTCGAGAAGCCTGGTTATTGCACTCGTAAACAAGTTTGCAGTTAATAATTTTGATCTTTTTAACAGTACAAACAGGACACATGAAGCCACATTGTGTGGATGCGAGGCATTATTGAAAATGCACAGAGACGGAGAGCGGGGGGTCTCAGAGGGAAAACAGACACTTGAAAATGAGGTTCTCAGCTTACAATAGGATCTCTCAAGCTGCAGAAAGCAGATAGCGATACAGTAGGTGAGAAGAATGATTATTAAGCTGATTAAAAGGAGCGTGGTGCTGCTAATTGCTCCCGTAATGTTCTCAGCACTGTACTGCTGGATAAGACTTCTCTCCCCTGAGACACTGCAGGGATGGGCACACACAGTCAGCCTCTCTCCCCACACACACACACACACACACACACACACACACACACACACACACACACACACACACACACACACACACACA